TGTCACCAGCTACCCACCAAGAGAAGAAATGGCAAAATCTCAAGGGACAAAGAGAGAACATGTCCCCAGCCTTTTCTCTTTAGTTGACTCTGACAGGAAGAGAAATGTTACTTTAGGATGGTAATTTCAAGCTCCTCTGTTATAAGTGGCAAATCCCTGTCTGAGGATGCTGTCTGTTTCATAGTTCCTAACTAGAGCAGTCTATAAACCAGCACCAGGTATTTTAACAGATTCTGCCTATTTTAGCCTTTGATATCATCTGTTCCTCATATTTTTGCAGTCCCAGTGTTTCTCTTCCAAGATTTGTGATCTGGATGCACAGGATCTTTTAGTCTTCTTCTTTCAAATGACAGAAGTCAATTTCTAGAAAACCTCAATTTATCAGCTATTACTATACAGATCTCTTTCCCTCCTGGGTCCCTCTCCCAAGCAATGGAGAGTGCATACAGTTGTGAAAGAAAAATGGAGCACATCATAGGAATGCATCCTTTTACCCTCGGTAACTAGAAATATCTAATCCTGAACTATTAAAATGATTCTTGCTTAAAATGAAAAGAAAAATCCTGACATTCAATCTGCAAATAATTCTATGCTGCTTAACTGGCACTTTAGTAGTTTTTGTTTGTGATATATCCAAAGGAAGAGATGAACTGTCAGAACTAAAAGCTCTCTCAGCACTTGGCCATATGTTTCTGCTTTGGTCCCCAGCCTGTTACATGGCTGAACAGAGGATAAAGGCTGGTCTTCATGTACAACACAACCTCCAGGGGAGGTGGGAAAAAGAGTGAATCTTTCCAGGGTTCCTTCTTACCGAAGAGTTGGCTTGGATTTAGATGCAGCCAAGTTTTGCAGCACCAGGGGTGCTGGCTATAAAGCCTAATGAACCAGAGATTCATTACCATGATCTGCAGGGGATATACATCCACCAGCACTTGCACAGTGGAGATAAAGTGAGAAACTGGAGCTCATGTATCTTTCTATGCCAGGTTCTAGTAGAAGATTGGTTGGGAAGGGCTGGATGCTGGAGGTTAGCAACTACGTTGATCTTGGCCTAAAAATCAAAAGGGTCTCAGGTCTATCAACATTGCAGGATGCCACAAGTGTAGTCAAGCTAAATGTTATAAACTCTTTTGCTTTTCCTCCCCAATTTCCAAGTAGCCATTGATCGTACCTAAGTAGCATTCTCAAAACACAATTTACCCCACACATGTTTATTATCAGAGCAGGCCCCTGGACAGCTGGGTCATCGAGACCCTCCTAGCCTCCTATGCTCAAGTCAGGCAAGGGTCAGCTGAGACACCACCAACTGCTGGAGAGGTTTCCTGTGGGACAGGGAATGGGGCAACATCAATCTCCTCAAAAAGTCTTTCTGCTGTAAAACTGACATAGCTCTGGCAGTCCCTTCAGCCACATAAAATCTTACTAGTCATTCCCTCCCAGAAAGGAAACAGGAAGAATTTAAGGCACTGAATCAAAAAAACCCCTCAGCTCTGCAGAACCGAGTCTAAAAAAGAACAAATGCCAGAAACTCTATGAGTCTACCAGGGACTTTGCTATTGATTTTGCACTGCAGACGGTCAGACGTTATGCTAATGTGCAACGTGTCAATGTAAAACCTGTTGCTAGATTCATGGCGGGTGATTCAGCTCAAGCATTGTGGCTTAACTTCACAGAATGCCACTTCTGACAGTTCAAAACCAGCACTCACTAATGTCAGATCAGGAGGATGTGGCTCTGACTCCATCTCTGCAGAGATTTGAAAATCCACTGGCAAAGCTTTAACTTCTTCAAAAGACAATAGTAGATAATGCTTTTAAGTAGTCTTTGTTTGTCTTTTATTCTTTTGTTTCTAATGGATGTCTAAATTTGAAAAGAACTTCCTCTCTATTTTTGTTCCGATTTCCCTGGTGGGAAGAAACTGAAAAATCTGATCTATGTCAAGTCAGAAGAAATGTGTGCAAAGCTAACATGGTTCAGGAAACAGTGTTTGATTACTGAATGTTGCCACAGAGTCAGCAAGAGCTGGACACACCACCCTTGTGGGAGTTCTGCCATTGACTGAATGGGTGCAGCATCTCAGTTCATTTGTTGTAGAGCTGGATGAGTGATAAATCAAACAAAAGAACAAGTTACTTGGCCTCCAAATAATCTTTAGATGTTCTAGTCTTCTGCTGTATGAAGGCAGGTTCTTAGTTTTCTGGTAAAATTATAGCCAAACATTTTGTCCACGCAGTGACCTTTGGCATAGGTCAATTATACTTGCCAAGGTGGACAGTCTTACATGTCACAATCCCATCCTTGTTCAGTAATATCTAATTCTTTATAGGGTGTACCTTCTTGGAATATACATGGCAAGAAAGTGTCTCTGTTTTTGCAAATAACTCCCTGCCCTACTGACACACTGGCCAGAACTTTTCTACGTTAGGAAAGAAGGGTCTTCCCCAACAAGAGCTGCCTCTTCAGGAGCTGTGGGATAAAAAGAGGCACCTGTTATCTTCTACTACATCATAAAAAATATATTGGGTCTTGAGGGTCATGAGGGCACCAGAAGGCAGTAAAGGCCTGGTTTCAGAATAACCAGAGGGAGAAATGAGATACCTTTTACAGGAGTGAATAGAAAGGCTGATCTACACTCAGCTCCTCACCAATGACTCATGTAGGGTGGGGCCATGCTGGCATCTCTCTGGTTATTCTGCTATAGGCACTAGCTCTCATTGCAATTTATCTACTCTTTAGCGAAAAAGAGAGGCAGCATAGATATCATCTGAGACCCAGTTCCATCCTAGCATGGTTAAAGGAAACAACTGTGTTGAGGATATTAGAGGGGAATTCCTCCACTGATGACAACATGAGAAAAACATTATCTTAATATTAATCTAATCTTCAAAAGTTTATGCTGCTATTTTTTGAAAACTGAGACTTGGACCATTTATCTAGCACAGCTATATGGGTTCAGTTAGAAATTGTAGACTCTGTTAAAACATTCCAGTCCTCCAAGAAATGTCGCCTTTACACATAAAGTTGAAATGTTTCATGTGAAGCCATTTTCAGAAGAATTCTAAACACCTCTATGGTAAAACTGCATTCAGTTTTTTCCGTGAGATGATTTCCATGGCATACAATTCAGTACGATGCCTTGAAAATTAAAACATCACATGTTTTCCATCTAGCTGCGATAGAGAAAAAGCAGCCTATTTATGCCAGCAGTTTTCTGTAAAAGCTATCTATCTATTAAGAAAAAAAAAGCCTGCTGGCTTTTTCTGGGCACATTCTCATCTGAGCTCTTTGTTGTGGCCAGACTACGCTATTGCAAACAGCAACACAAATACGCTGTACCCTACAAACCAGAAGAGCTGGGCCAAGCTCTGGTAACAGCTTCAGTCTCATCAGTCATGCCCAGTGAAATTTTCCTCACAGGAGCTTACTTGAAGGTGAAATTATTCCCACTGAGTGGTGTGGAGCCAAACAGGGTGCTGCTGAACACATTTCCTTTATTTGTCTGTTCTTGTCTTTTTTAATTTCAAAATTAATTTCTTATCAGTGTTGCTCATTGATAGAGGATGCCTAAACTTCTTTTTCTTTTCACTTTCTACATCTTAGAAATTTCTGAGAGAAAAGAACAAAGAACTGAGCAATCCAGGTCATAGTCAAGGGCTTTGACCCTACTCTGCACTATCACATTAATTTCCTTTTAAAATTTGTGATCTCCCATGATTTTTCTTATAGAGTTGCCAGAGATTTCCACCACTTGCCAAAACATTTCAAGATCTATAATTCAAAACTCCAGCGTACAACATCATCTCCCACTTCTGCTGTAGAGGAGTGGCAGCAGTAGCTATCGGCCTTGTCTAGTGGAACGAATGGCAGCCAGAGGTGTGAAAGCTTTCCCTGTAGCTTGAGGCATATAAAGAGGTTTGGGGTGGTACCCTAAGGAGGCAGTGATCACTAAGCTCCTTGGCATTGTTGTACTATTGATGAGGATCTCACCTGTCATCCCATGGTGACAGATCCAAAGTGCCATCCAGTGCCCCTTCATATAGTATCTAAAGCTCCACTGGTTGAAAGAACGAAACCACCTTTCCTCTTAGGCAAAGTGACTAGCTGCACTTTTTCTAATCCACGGTATTAGTGCTGTAGCTGTGGCAGCAGCAGCTAAAAACACCATGCTCAGTACCATTGACAATCTTTCATAGTCATACAAGGCTCACACGGGCCACTTCAGTGTTGGAGCAAGTTTTGCAGTCCTGGCTGAGCTCTCTGCTCCCCCAGATGTAGCTGAGCTGGACATTTCAAAGCTACTTTGGCACTACTTATGGCTATAGTGTACTGTGCTTAGAGCACATATGCAATGCCACTGCTGCCCAGATACTCCTCAGTGTGAGCAGCAGCCCACTTTCCTCTCTGGACCTCAGTCCCACAGTATCCTTTTCCAACAAGATTGTGGAAGCAGGGAAAATTAAAATTGGCATGCTACGAACATGTATTCACATGCATATGGAGTCAGCCACAACACTACCAACGCTGTGATATCTTACAGAGTTGGTTGTGATTTCAAAATCACAAAAGTAAAAAAGTACAGGCAAATTAGCTTGCAATGTTAACACAAACCTCAAAACAACAGTCCCACTATCCTCTGGAGAAATATGTACTTCTACTGAAATAAAAAAACGCACTGGATCCTCTAGAGTTTGGGAACTGGTCAGAACATCAGTACTTCTAATAATAAAAAAGTCTACAACACATTCTATGTGTAGAAACTTTAACTTCTAATCAAGGAGACTGACAGGAACTGTAGCTACTTTCTAGCATTCACAGAAAAAAAGCAGCTCTTCAGTCCAATGCCAGGAACAGAGAAATCCACTGAACGGAAGAACTCGTTCAAACTAAACCTAAGCCCAGCACAATTTCCAGACACAGCCCACAGTGACATTCTCATGACAGAGTGGATCCCCTACCGGAGCCAGGCTGGCTCTGGGGAGAGGCAGCAGCCATGAGCCTACCTTGCGCAGATGGTCACCACCTCCGAAGCCCGGAGCAGAGCTCCTCCGGCGGGCACAGGGCGCGGGGTACCCGCCTGCTCGGGCTCTCACAGGTGCCGAGGCTCAGGCGCAGCGACCGCGCGTCTCCTCCGCTCGCACAGCTTGTCATTAATGTTCCCAGTTGGGTCTCAGGGAGCCCAAACTCCCCGGAGCCGCCAGCCGACGGCCCCGCGCCCCCTTCGCAGGCTCGGAGGGGCTCCCCAATAACTTCTCCTTCCCTTCGCTGTCTTCTGCGAAGTTTGGTAGAGCCGCGGGCGCCGGAGCGGGCTCTGCTCTCTGCGGAAACTCGCCTACCCCACCTAGAGGAGCACGGCAGGATGAGGAGTCCCGCGTCCATGCCCGCTACGGCAGAGCTCGGATTTTCCTGGTGAACGGGAGGAGAAGGTTTTTATCTGGTTTGGCTGGGAGAAGGGGAGCCAGATCCTGGGGCACGGAGCAGGGGAATGCTTCTGGGAAACTCCTGGGAGTAGAAGGAACCAGGGTGAAGTTTGACGATTGAACTGGTTCAGTTCAGCGAATGTTGGTATGGCAAAATGAAACTATTCTGCACAAATAGCTAGATTTTTAGGCAATTTGGGTTGGCTCCTCTGAAGCCTGTCTCAGTTTTCTACTCTGAAGTCACATATTTGGGGACCCCCTGGACTTCCCACGGGACTTTATCAGAGAGGGACAGCATGGGAGATATCAAGAATCACTGGGTCCCTGGGACCACACACAACTCTCTGTGACTTTTAGCAAATTCTAAAGGAATAACTTAGATTTTTTCAAGTTGAAAATGTCATGGCTACCTTTCTGAATTTCTTTTCTTCCCAAGCAAAACTGAAATATTCTTATACTGTTGTACTTTCTAAAGGTTGCAAATTCTGGTTATCGGCTAACTCTGCTGGAGGGGATTTGCTAGTATTTCTTGAAATCGGAAAATGTGAAATAATCTACTCGGATAGCATTATTTATCACTGAATGAAATGCAAAAAATCCAGCACACCTGCAAATGGCTTGAGTGCAGCTAGAGCAGTTAACTCAAGAGACCATAAAGGAAAAACATATCAAGACTACAACTCCTTTTGTGAGCATCCAATATGTAGTATGAAAACCTGACAATGCTTGATCAGTGGAAAATGTATCTCAGAGGAGGCCCTTCAGCCTTGTAGGGATACAGGATTCATAAAATCTGTATTCTGGTGTATGCTGTACTTGTAACTCCACAGCTGACCTGACCCTCCCCATCCCACTGGGCAAAGGCGTGCTTTGGTTCTTTCTCACATACCAGACTCAATGTTATGAATCAACATTAAAATATAACTGGACATTTTTTCATTTTAATAAGAAGCATATTCAATTCAATGGTTCCAGTTGTCAAAAGCTGGCCCTGGGCTACACAGCAAGTTGCTTCCTTCTTGCTTGCAGAGAAGAAAGGATCATGGCTGGTATCACTACAACACAGACAAAACAAGGTCTTTGGACCTTTCTCCTTTTGTAGTGAAAAATCATCTGGTTTATACCTAAAGTTGAGGTGTCTAAAGACCTCTATTGTCTCTTAGAAGTAGTAATGTTCATTTTGTTACAAAACTGAGGTCTAAGAGAGAAAAGTACTATAAGAAGGAAAAGTGAAATAATTCAGCAGAATCTCCTAGAAATGAAAAGGTAGCACTTCTGGGGGTATGCTTGATAAAGGGCCCCTTTCCCAGAGTTTACATTTGTTTCCCAAAATACAAAATTACAAGCACACAACTGCAAAGGGCTTCCATCTTCCATTAGCATCCCACCCATTCACTACTGTTAAACTGATGACTGCATGAGTGTGCTCATCCATGGCTTCTAACCCTCTTTCTTCCATCATAACCCACCCAGTCCTCTCAGTCAGGTTTGTTGCAACACCTACCACTACCCTCAGCCCTTGTCCCTCAGCACTTTATACCTCCATGTGGTTGCCCTTCACCGGTTCTCTTTTAAGAACTTCAGCACTCCTTTCAGCTGCTGCACTTTTTATTAGGCCAGAGAAAGCACATATGGGTGCTGGTTTGTGTAAAGACCAGTCCGATAAAGGTTTTCAACAGCCAGAAAGGTTTGATTTGTTTCATATGGTATCTCTCAGTAATTCCTCAAATTTTCCTGACTCACTTCTCCAGCTGACTCTAGCCTGCTTACAAGCCTCCAGTCTCACAAATACCTGAGAACTGAAGCTGATTACCGAGTCACAAAACCCTATTTAGCAATTGGAGAACTTCTTCCAAATCATTAGATAGACTGTCCCAGGCTAGCCCATTTAAATATATTTTTGATTTTCAGAATTACGTCTTTCACAAGGAGGGCAGCAAGCATCTGAAAATTACAAAGCAATTAGCTTAGCTCAAACACCTACAGTAACCATGCTCTTGTGTTTGCAATATATATTTGAAATAATTAACAACATATTTCTGTGTCTTCTAGGACATCTGTAATTAAAAAATGTATTAATCATTACTTCCTTCCTAGAATGAAGATCTCATGACAACTATTGCAGAAGAACTTAAAACCAAATGAAACCACCCTCTCCCTATCTGCTGAGAGGGAACACCTTATTTGTTATATGATATTTTCTTCCCAGTCTTTCAAAAACTCAGGCAGGCTTTGGAGAACACAGGAAGATGGACCAAAGAACAAACCTTCCTCAAATATCTGAAAAGCCAAGGGAAGCTAGAAAGCTAGGAAAGAGTTAAAATGAAGTGCCAAGAACAAATTGAGTATGGGACACTGGAGATACACTGTTGTATCAAAAGTACTCTTAAGAGGCCTCTCCATGTATTACAGATGTCTATGGGAGTCCTGCTATTGATTTAATAAAAAGACTGGATGCTGGAACAGTCAGTAACTCAAACTCTTGATCTAGACTTTGGATACAATATTTTAAACCAGGGATCAGTGGATATTTATGGTGTTACATTATATTTCAGTCTGGATTTGGAACTTCATTCTCTGCAACATCTTTGTTCGCATGCATTGCTTTGCATTGTAATTTCTCACTTTTGCATATATGCTGACCTGCTCTATGCATTAACATTTCCGTACTTACTGTTGTGAAATTATTTGCTTTATCAAAGTCTTTCCATATAGTTTCACTTCGTTTTCTTCCTTGATATATGTTCTCCAGATAAGACATTTGTCAAACTGTTGGTTTCTTTTTCTTACTCTATTTTTATTTCTAAACCTTTGTCTCATTTTGTGAGGTGTTTTTACTTGGGGAGGAGAGAGAACTATGGGTATTAAAGAACATTATTCTCTGATGCTTCTGGATTTGTCATTTGTTATTCGAAACTTTTGCAGTACTATAAAAGATTTCTTCCATCTTCAAGGCTCTTGCCTATCTTATTTAATTTCAGATCTCTGCTGAAATCATTTTGCACAGAAGATGGCAGTCAGATAGTTTCTTTATCACCCTGAACTTCAGGGGAGCCCCTAGGATATACTCTCGGGCACATGATGTGACACTTGGGGATGGTCCTGTGTGGACCTAAGTGTTGGACTCTTGAGCTCTGAGATTAACATTTGCAAGCTACTTGTGTCCATATGTACATCCATGGCTGGACACCTACATACACACATGTATGACTGTAAAGGGAAGAGAGGACACGGTACGAGACCTGAATTAGTGTGGCAGAGCCATAATCCATGATATGCCCACACTGGTGGTCACCTCTGCGGCTTCAGTCCCCAGACAGTGGACATGTACCTACCCAAGTCGATGTATATTGAACAGGTAGCCCTTACAAGAGTCCTTCTTTTCTTGCTTATGCAAAGTGCAAGCATGAACATTATTAATGACACAAAGACAAGCCCTGCTACACAGGGCTTTCTTATCAAAGTTGCCAAGGTATTATGGGTGTCTCTTGTAAAACAGTATTTCAGAGCTTTACAAGCAATATTGATTATATCCTTCAACTTCTCTCTAAAACAGGTGGTGTTAACCTGACTAAATAGAAAAGGGAAGAAGACATAGGAGAAGTGATGATCAAATATGCCCAATAATTTCAGATGTCTGATTTCAAATGCCTCGGAACTGATTTTTCAGGCTGCATCACAATACACAGCACTTGATATATTCTGGAGGAGCTTGCAGAGACTTCAGTGGCAGCCAACAAAAGAGCTTATCACTCTGTCAGGCCTATTGTGCATCTCTTGGGAAGCAGGATAATAAGGCAGGGAGCCCCTGAGTTTCCAGAGCAGCATTCAGCTGCCTGAAATGCTCAAACATTCCTTCTTCTGCATCTCTTTGTCTTACTTTTGTTTAGATATTGCAGCAGAGTAGACAAAGTCTAGTAAAAAGCATAGTACCTCAGCACATAATCAAACAGAATATTGTACTTTATACTTGTAAAGTAATTTGAGTAAGTCCTTAAATTCTGATTCATATGTCTAATTCTGTCTTATGATGTGTAACCCCTGTGTAACCCCTGCCAGTCAGGCAAAGTTAGCCTACAGCTCTGCCATACTTGCCTGGTGACTTTCTATACTCGGTTTGCACACAAACCACTTTTTATGGATCAGGCTGCATCCCTTTGAACTTATCTGAAGCTTGACCACAGCAAGCTCTGTCACCTGGCAAGTGCAGTAGTCACCAGCATACTAAAGCATATATTTACTGTTGCAGTCATGGGGAGATATGTAAGGGAATTCTTTAGTTAGCAGTTATCCTCTTCAAATAGCTACAGGATGCTAAGGCCATTTAGTCACCTAAAAAGTGAAATAACTTGTGCGAATTATTTGTAGATGTTTCAAGCATGTCCTGAGCCTGTAAATGCTTTGCTTTTGGCATAGAACAGCAGGCTTTCAGCTTGGAGTCTGTTTTGCTCTGTTGTATGTAAACATTGGAGTATTCTGACTTGGAGGAATCACTTAGAAAGGGTAGCTAGAGCAGTGTTTTAAGCATTTGTTATAATTTTGATTGTCAAAATATAAATTTGTTATAAATTTGATTGTCAAGGTGTTTTGATATAAAATACATGATCATCACCTGACTTCAATGTAATAAAAAAGTATAAACAGAGCTTGAATGGTATTG